ATGGAAAAGCCTTGGAACCGGGCTGAGTCGGGTCCAGTTGGGCCGCACTGTTACTAATGGAAAAGGGGCAAAACAGGACTTCTAAAGGGTCATAGCAAACAAAAACTGAACTTATGCAACCAGAAGTTACAACATATATCTAAGTACAAAACACACACAAAGCACAGCTAGCTTTAAGCATAAACTTTAATTTAATCATACAATGTAATTATGACAGAAAATGGAGACGTTCAGGTTTTGGAAATGGACACTCGAAACACTCAGGGTAACACTGTCTGAATTACATGTTCACTGATGACGTGTAAGGATCAAGGACTCATGAAAAACAAATAATCATAGATTTTAGTGATTTTAGTTTAAGACTGTCATCATTTATTACATATTTATTCCAAATTTATTCAATCTTTTTGTGAATCTATAGGTTTGAGAACTGAGTTTTCTTACAAAATCGTATTGATGGTTTCTTTATTTTTCAGGGGTGCTGAGTTAAAATTTAGGGATGCTTAAGCACCCCCCCAAAAAAGAGGCTAAAATCACCACTGTATCAGAGCATCATATCATTTGGATGAAATCATCCCATCCAGCTGGCATGGCCCTGCTCAGGGACAGCTGAGAAATACCTGATCAGTATTTGGGTGATGTGATCCCTGAAAACACACTGTCTCCCAATTCTTCCATTGGTGACGTCATCCTGCAGCACCACAGCTGTCATTGTCCAACAATTACATCCAACTTTACGCAGCTACATATGGACATGTGATGGTGTGCACCTTGTCGACTTGAGTCATCAGAGCTGAGCTCTGAATGTTTGCTGGTCTGACATTGTTTTCTTCTCAGTGAGAATGAAATGCCCCTTACACAGTTCACACACACTTTATGCTCCTCCTCTGTCTGTGTGCCTCACAGGCGTGTTTACATCTACATGTGACAAACATATGAAAAACGCTACCATTTACATTGAAATGAGGTTGTTTTGATCATTTTTGAGGCGTGTTAGATGTTTTGTTGTTTGAGGTTAAAAGTGATTCAGTTTTCTTGTTTGGATTTAAACCAGAAATGCTCAAACTCGTGAAAAAGCATCATGTTTGAATATCCTTTAAGTTCAGGAAACCAAACAGTCATGTGCATGCATCAGGACAAACAGAGTCATATTTCTGTGTACCGGTATTTATTTGAGTTCCAGTACTTTCTGATACTGTGGACTGAAAAAGTTTGCATGCAGGTAAGCACATTCTCACCATAGGTCAAAAATGTGCTTGAAGTTAAGCATGCTTGCATGCAATGTTCAATTTGATATATCCCGGCATGTGTGTGGAACCTGGCACACGCAAGTTTTTTGTGCATACGCACCGTTGATGCATGAGACCCCTGATACTCAAAAGCCATTTTGTCAAGCTTGACACTTTACAAAGTATATTAAATAAAAGGTGATCTTGTATACACTTGCATGACTTCTTGAGTGCCAAAGTTTTATGCATAAATGTTGCACAGTTTGTTAGACTGCGTATAGAAAGTGAATCATTTTCAGCTTCATGAAATACTTCACTAAGAAACAGTCACACACAGGGAACTGAGGTTGCTCTTTTCATCACAACAAACAAAAAGTTGTCACAGATTTTGCAAAAAAAGTTTATGTCAGATGAATATTTTAAAAAAATGCAGAGAATTAATCCCCCGTTGAAGAACATGAGAGTATAAAAATAATGATCCCAACTTTGTCATGGAATATTAAAGGGCAAAGCAACATGTTCTCAATTGTAAAACTAGATAAATTGCATTTCCTGTGAAAATGCAGTGTGAATCCTTGCCCAATTATACTGAAAGAAGCAGAAATTAGCACAAAAAGTGGAAATTATCTGAAAAAAGTAGAAATTTGCAACAAACTAAAACAGCTGAATAGTAGCTAAAAAAGCAGAAAGAAGCTTAAATTACGAAAAGGAAGCAGAGAGAGAGCATAATTGTGCCCAATTAGGCTAAAAGAAACAGAAACAAGCACAAAAAAGTGGAAGATATCGCAAAAAAGCAGAATTTAGCAAAAAACAGCTGAAGAGTAGCTAAAAAAGCAGAAAGAAGCTTAAATTACCAGAAGGAAGCAGAGAGAGAGAGTATAATTGCGCCCAATTAGGCTGAAAGAAACAGAAACAAGCACAAAAAAGTGGAAGATATCGCAAAAAAGCAGAATTTAGCAAAAAACAGCTGAAGAGTAGCTGAAGAAGCAGAAAGAAGCTTAAAATACCAGAAGGAAGTGGAGAGATAACAGTTGTGCCCAATTAGGCTGAAAGAAGCAGAAATAAGCACAAAAAAGTGGAAGATATCTGAAAAATGCAGAAATGTGCACGAAACAGCTGAATAATATGCTTAATAAGCATTCACACAATAATAATTCCATTTGTCTGTTTGCCTTTGCAAAAATAGTCTATCTTAGCAGAAAGTACAAACACAAAAGCAAAGTTTAATATAAAAAAAACCATGATGGGAGAAATGGTCCATTGTTTGCAGAGAGCTGGTGTCTGATTTGTTCTCCCCATTGGCATGATTTGGGGCTAAAGCAGAACCACACACCCATGATCAAGCTAGCACTGAAATAGCCTGTTTTCCCTGTTTAACCACAGTTTTGTTAGTAATGCTGTTTATTCAGCTGTGACTCTGTTGGGCTGTTGGTTAAATGAGAATCTAAATTGATTCTTGGTGGTTAATTGTTATAAAAATGCAACAACACTTGTTTAGTGTTTATGTGTTTCCTCCAGGCGGTGCTACACATCCAAGCAGCCTAAACCCTAATGGCTCTTAATAGGCTTTCAGTGAACATTTGTCATAGCGGATGAACAATTGTTTTCCCATAAATCCATTTCTGAATGTGCTGTTGCCTTTCTGAGATATAATTTGGATTATTTATGGCTTGGGGCTGAAATGTGATGGATGACTTGTGGCGCGTAATAAAGTTTTTGGAGTAAATCATTCATAGTTTAGATCAGATATAGAATAACATAACTGCTGTGCGTCTCTTTAAAAAAATATTTACTTAAACACAATTTATTTCCGCAGAAGAAAGAGCCTACAAAGTGAAAATCCATAAGTTTAGCTTTGTCCAGATATAAGACTTGTAATGGGTTTAACTCCGTTTCAAAAGATCTGAAGAATCATTTCATGTAATTAGAGATCCAGTAATGTACGTTTCACAGCCTTTAATGCCAGAGTTTTAAACTAAAATAATATCTTCATGAGAAGGACAAATTAAATTAATTTTGTCAAATCTTGTAAATGACGTTATGCCTCATTTTAGGTGTGTTTGCCCTCACGGTGTGCGTTGAGGAGAACTTCCAACTACTACCACAATAAATATCAACTCAGTGTATGTCGAATTAACCAAGCTATGGTCAGTTTTGTGTTATCTAAGGTTGATTTGTTGTGGAAGTCATTGGTTTCATTTCATATGTTCGTTGTAGACGTACATCCAATGATTACCTTCAGAAAATTTCATTTAAATCCGTCCAGTGGTTCATGAGATGTTTTGCTAACAGACTGATAGGGTTGACTCAAACAGTCAGTGTTGGAGTTTTGAACAGAAACATTGCATAAAGTGTTGTGCTCAGAATATGTTTTTGATATACTATT